AGCTGACGATACAGGCGGCCGCTGACGCACCGTGAAGAGCGGTGGCGTACGGAGGAGATACATCCAAAAGGATAGTCTGGAGATCGGATGACCTTCTGCCATAGCACAGGCCCGAAGGAGCTCTCTAAGTCAGAGTCGCTTCAGAGAGGTACGCCCGAGCGCGCACGTACCTGCCGGTATAGCTAAGGACGCAAGGTTCGAAGCACATCAGTATGCAGGGCAATCACCAGGCACTGTGAGCTATGTATATACCACAAAGGTTCTGCGCGGCTCATACGTCTTACCGTCATGCCAGAACGTCAACCCAGCAAGAGCGTAAGGGCAGGATAATCTAGTAGAGGCTTGCGATGTCGGCGTTCTCATAGCGAAGATGGTGTGAGGTTGCCGTTGATGCCCATACAAAACGGCCAGCCCCTACAGAGGCCTGCTTCATGTAGAAGAGACTTGTAAGGCAAGAGCACTTCTTGCTACACATAGGTCGCAGTGGTCGTGGTCTACGTCGCAACGCGAAGCCTCGGCCCTCGGGACCTCGGGGCCGACCTTCGCGGTGATCCGAAAACGCGCCAACCGACACAGTAGCGCTCTGCCACTTGAACCCGAACTACATCGACCAATCTGCTCCGCTCTTTTCTGAATGTACACATATGGCCGCAGGAACTTCTTGCGTCGGGCTTGAAGCAAGACACTGTGCGACACCCCATCGTCAATAGCTCGCCTTCTGCTAAGATGGTACCCGAGCGTAGCGCGGTCCGCAGACGGCGACGGAATGTATTTCAGTTGCGCGCAGCCTCCTCAACTGTGCGAGTGAAATGCCTGAGCCACCATAGGTTTCTGCAACTTGGGCAGACTTGTCGACTTACATGTATGGCAATGGTCTTGCAATCTATGCTACTCGGTACGGCCGGACGAGCGTCCAGCATCGAGTGCATTGCAAGACGGTTCGCCCTTTTCACTCGGTCACAGCTTTCCTTCAGCGACTTTGAATGTGTTGCCTATCCTGATCCCTCATAGTCTCTCAGTGAGCGAAGTCTACCCTAGACTCGGTCTCAGTACTGGTTAACTCATGTGATCGTGACTATCGATCCTCCCTTTGTTCGAGTCTTCGTACCACCTCCATCTATTTATCCTGCCGCTACTCCCTCAATGGACGCAACGCTATGAATACATAGCTAAGCTACCCGCATCCGAAGTGACTGCTCAGAGGAGAGACAGCTTGGCTACAGCGGATACTTTGGCTCAGAAGGCAGGGCAATCCGAGAGCAAGAGCCGCGATGCGTCTTGCGACATAACACAGGAAGAGGTGGTCGCCGTCAAAGCAGAGGCAAGAGACTCGTACTCTCATCCTTGCTTACAACCTATTGAAGGAGCTCTAGAAATCTCGTATCATGTCACTTCCCGAGTACCTTCGGGAGAGTGTTCACCGTGCCTTCTCCGCAAAGTATCTCCTGGATCTCGTCAACACGATGCGCAGCGCTTCTCTGGACTCCCAGAAGAGGACGGTCACTGCCTGCACGGATCTGCTTCTGAATCTGGGCGCGCCCTTTCCTCCCAAGCCGTACAACCCTTATCTGCAGCGACTTCTAATGTCTGAATCGCTCGCGCGAGGTCTGGGAAATGCTGTCGCCTCCGCCATGCTCAGTGATATCGGGATGGACGATATACAAGCTGCATCTTCCCTGCTGTATGTCATCGTGATTCTCGGCGACAAAACTTGGGGGGACGACGGGCGGGCGGGCGTGGACCGCGTCCTACGCTCAGGTCTACGGAGCAAGCTCGAGCCGTTTACACACCCAACGAATCAAACGACGATTCCGCTGGGAAAGGACGAGACATAGTAATTCGTCTCGCAGAAACGTTCCGCATGCTTGAAGACGATAGAATCGCCGCGGGCCCGATTGATATCCTGGCCGTCACTCGACGAGGGATATTGGAGGTTGGCGTCTCCTCGGACGAAAGCGCATGGTGCGAAGTATGCGGCGAAGATGGCGAGCTGAAGTGCTCCCGTTGCAAGGCTGCGTGGTACTGCGGGCTGACTTGTCAGGCGCGGGCATGGAAGGAGGAGCATAAACTGCGGTGCTTCGACTGTGCTTTCTGAGCGGCTTTGTTTTGAGAATGAACGCAATGAACCACTCAAAGTTTCATGATATGATGCCGATCACGATGTCATGGCAAGCATGTGCTGATCTACGGTCCGTTTGTGGTACTTGAAGACACCCCGCTCCACCCATCCCCACGAACTCCGTACCCTGCCTGGTGTTCATTGACGTGATATTATGCTCTGCGATATAAAAGCCTGTCGAAACGTGCCAGCCACCGCCACCACCGCAACTACGGCCAGTCCGCAATGTCCGCTCACCCTCCAACATCGGCAAACACTCCGCTCAGCCGTACAGATGCAGCCAAAGTCGCGGACTCTCTTGCGTCAAAGGCCCGCCTGTACGAGCCTCTCTCTGCTGATACGGACTTCTCCACCACGGAAGACGAGGTCTTTCGAAGCCAGGTCAGTTGTGCCAGCTACATTCTCATCGTCTGCAGTCTTGAGTGACTAACCTTACAGTACAGGTCAACGACATCTATGCGCTACCCGTAGATTCGCGTGATGCTATCTACCTCGCCTTCTCCGCCAAACACCTTCCGGCTCTCGCCACGGCCCTACGTAGCCTGCACCACACCACGCAACCGCTTGCGCTCTCCTCTTGCGTTCTCTTGCTCTGTCATCTTCCGGCTGTGGATCGCGGCAACGTATATTTGCGAACCTTCCTCACCAGCGATTCAGCACGGGGCATCGGGACGATCGTCGCGCGCGCTTGGTGTGACGGGCTCGCCCCGAACAAAGAGCATCCACTCGGTCCCGGAACCCTCAGCGCCTTTCTGATCGCCGCGCTCTTCTGGTCTCCACCCGCATGGGGAGACGATGACACCGCCAGTATCGACAAAGCCGAGCGTGCGCGCATGACTGAGAAGCTGTCGGCCATCATCGCGGAGCTGCCCGCGGAGATCCCAGGTGGGATGAAGCCTGGCGTTGGGCCTCCGCCCCCGGAACGCTTCGTATGGCTGGACACCAAACGACTAGAACGGATTCTTCAGGGTATAGACCACGTACCGGAGTTTATCGCGTCGTCGCAGGAGCAGCTCAAGATGAAGGCGATGGACGAGACACTGTTATGCGCCGTGTGCTTGGAGGGAGATGACGATGGCAAAGAAGTGACGCGGTGCTCACGTTGTAAGCATACGGTGTACTGCAGCGCGCAGTGCCAGAAGAAGGACTGGAAGACGCATAAGTTGCGATGCTTCACCCCGCCTCCACAGTAAGACTGGCCGCTCCTAGGACGATGATAATCAAGATGGTCTATTGCACAGATGTATATACATTACAATGTACAGCGCAAGATCTACCGTGACCCAGGATGTATGAGTGTACTGTGTAGTTGCGGTAAATGGTACAGTTCTGGTCCAGTGGAGATGTTACAAGTTCGTTGCTTCAACTTTAGTTCATTCAGTTCAGTTCGTACAGGCCCAACCCAATAGCTTTCTAAGCATCAACCACCGGCTATCGCTTGTATTCTTCAGGCTCAACGTCCTCCAGCCTCAATCAGCTTCTTCATTCGCTAGAAGCGAAAGCGCGAGCCTACGCGAGTTCCTCGTGAACTTCCCCGCCCTTCTCCCTGCGCCACTGAACATACTCCGCCCAGCTCACCGCACACTTGCTACTCTGGTAGCGTCTAAGCTTGACAGCGCGCCTGAGCTCTTCGCCGATCCTTCCGCTCCATCCAGCCTTCCGGATCGCACTGTCGACGGCCGTCCGCCGATCCCAACCTTGCTCCTCTGCAACCTCGGGAAGATACGTCGCGCTGTACGGACGGTTACCACCACGGTTGCGAATGAGGTTCGAAGCCGAACTGAGCGGGCTCGGTCCCTCAGACGCTGTGGCGGACGGGAGTGTGTGCGGATTGGGGAACGAGATGTGAATGCCGTGTACGCCGACGTCCCAATCCAGATACCCGTCCGCGTCCTCGAAATTCGTCAGGAGGGAGATGCTGCACACGCGATGACATCAGAAGTGGGGAAGGCGATCAAAGTCAGACGCTTACCCGCATTGTAGAGTGGGAAGCTCGTCCGCGGTGATCTTGTTGAAGCGGGTGTCGTTGAAAGCACTGATGAGCGCGTACTCGGCCACCCCCTCGCGTAGTCGATGAGGCTCGAAGCTACCGATACATCCGCGTAGGCGGGGCGAGCGCCCGTTGCGTACTGTGTTCCAGGTCACGAATAATGGACTGTTCAGCAGGTTAACTGGGTCATCCAAATCTGGATGGACGTAGGCACACACTACTTGTCGTCCGCGAACGTAGGCTCAATCGGCTCATCATCAGTTAGAGCGCAATATAAGGCGTCGAACGCCTGGAAACAGTGCTCCGGCTTGCAGACTTGGTTTTCACTGACGGGAGCCATCGCGAACGAGTGCGATAGATCGAAGCACAGGGGCTCGGTGATGGTGGTAAGATGCTAAGCTATGGGCGCTAGATTTGTCAAGCGTCGCAGGCGGTAATGGGGCCGCAAACTCCGGCAGTGGAGCGGAACGAGGAGAAATAATCGAAAGCATGTAGCAAAGCGACTGGCATTGTGATGTACAACATAGCAGAGTGCATGGGATGAGAGATGGTAACATAATGCCTAAGAATCGCAGAAGAGAACCGACCGCACAGAAGCAGATCAGTCGCGGGCCTTGAGCGTTCCCATGAACGCGGCCTTTTCCTCGAACGTCTGGAAGGCACCGTGCTATAAGAGTCGTAGTCAGTATATGATTCGCCACTCTTGAAAGACTGTGGAGACGTACGCCGAACTTCGAAGACGTGTCGATGAACTTGAGCTGGACCTTCTCGAGGTCACGGCGCGAAGTGTGGACCATGAGAGACTTGCGGAGAGTGACCACGCGCTTCTTGGTACCGGGGATGGAGCCCTTGAGCATCAAGTAGTCGTTCTTGACGACACCGTAGTGGGGGAAGCCACCCATGGGCGTGATGGTCTTCTTGGTGATGTCGGCGTCGGTCGAGGCGTTGCCCTCGTCGTCGGCGGCACCGATACGGTAGATCTTCTTGTTGAGCTCCGTACGGTGGTGGTAACCGTCTGCAGGCAGTCGTTAACCTCGGTTCTTACGAAAGACAAATATCAAAATATACGTACTCTGACCGGCACGGGCGACGGAGAACATGACCTTGGAAGGATGCCATGCACCGATACAAGCGACCTTGCGGAGACCCTTGTGGGTCTTGCGAGGAAGCTTCTTGGTACCCCAACGGTGGGTGACACCCTCAAAGCCGTGACCCTTGGTGACGGCGATGACATCGATGACCTCGTCCTGCTCGAAGACGGAGGAGACCTCGACGGGCTTCTCGAAGAGGCCCTGTGCGAACTCGACCTTGTCGGGGATGGAGCCGCCGTTGACCTGGATCTCCATCAAGTGGGCCTTCTTCTGTGCGAGGCCGGTCTTGCGGATCTGGGTGTGTGCGAGGACGCGGACGACGGTGCAGTACTTGCGGATGCGCTCGAGCTCACGTGCGATGCTCTTGCCGCCGTCCTCAGCGTGCTTCTTGGCGTAGCGCGTGAAGGCCTTCTTCTTGGAGCGGTACCAGTTCTTGTAGAACCGGCGCTTGAGCTCGTCCGACAAGTGCGACGCCCAGACCGTCGTCAGCGTGCGAAGCCCGCGCGGCGTCTCGACGTAGCCGACAACGCCGACGACGATCATCGGCGGCGTCTCGACAATCGAAACTGCCTCGACAATCTCGCGCTTGTGCATCTCTGTAAAATATTCAGCAGTTGAAGATTTTATTTACCGCATCCTACGCACTGGAGCCGGGACGGTCGAGGTCGCGCACGACGTGGGTCATGCCGGCCTTGTAGCCCATGACGGCCGTCAAGTGCACCGGCTTCTTGGGGTCATCCTGCGCGTTTATTCAGTATAATATTCTGACACGGCAAATAAATTATCCACACACCTTGGGGAAGGACTTGACCTTGCCGCGGTGGCGGGCGGCGCGCTTCTTGGGCAAGAAGCCAAGGGAGCCATGGCGAGGCGCTTCGTACTAGACAAATCGACGCCCCGCTTCAGTGGTTTCCCTCGGCTTCGCAATAAAATATACGACAGACCTTACGGTGACTGCAACACGCGAGTCAGCGTCGACGGCGACGACAGCAGCACACACAGCACGCACCTCATCTTGATGTTCTTGCAGGCAGTCGAAGCGGTAAACCCAACACAAGACACTCGACGGACACCAGAAAATCGGTCGCCCGGCAGATCCCGGTGTGAGAAACTGTCAGAACGCGGTCACATGCTTTGCTTCTCGCGCTCCCCTCTCTCTGAGCTCCATCGACCGCACGGTAACCGCGCGGTGCGGCACACCGTAAGCTTGCCAGTATACTGCGCCACAATTACACGCATCCACAGAGCCATATTTGGTCTTCGCTTCCATACGCCGGAACATGTACACAAGAGGGTGGAGCCATCGCGAGCACTCAGATATGAGTTTCCTGTTTGAGCGTATATTGACCAAATAAAAGCAAATGTGCCCTGTTAAGCCGGCTTTTGCTCATATATTATGCGGTCTATGTCAGGGTCTCAAATTAGAAGCTGTCGAATAACATTTCATGTAGTTCGACATGACGCGATGGAAGACAGACAGCGTGGATCTTGCCCCACGAAGTTACAGTGCCTTTGCGCGATCGTATGACACTTCGCCGTCTTCATTCTTCCGACACTGCTCGGAAGATACACTTCTACGTCCATTCGACGGCTAGGACCCTGGGCGTCGTTGCCACTATTACATGTCTAGAGTCTAGCGAGCATCTTCGCGGTGAACTTCGTTGAAAGATCGAGCTCAGTCCCGATTCAAGGCCCCGTTGTGGAAACGCTCAATCACTCGCATACGTTCCGTTGGATGAATTTCCGACGGCAGCATCTCTAAGCAAACTCAGCTCGCCGCTGCTTCGCCGACTCCGCCCTGCACGACTCTATAATGTCCGTGTATACAGAGCTTAAGACCCGGGTCTTCTTTGGGGTTCCTCTCACTTCACGGTATACTGCCCAGGCGCAACGTGTCCATATTGCTGCAAACACGAACGGGATCAGGAGCAAGACGACCAGTTGGTTTCTGTCCCTTGAAGTCAAAGACCTCCAGTCTTAAATAAGCGTAGGACGCATACGTTTCTTCGAGGATCCCTCACGGACAAACTGCGTGTTATGTCCGATTGTGGCGTAAGTATGGGTCTGCTAGGTCAATAGGGGTTGTAAGAACATGAAGTGGCATTGGCTTCAGTGCATTAGGAGGATGGTCGGTAGATAGTTATTCACCAGTCGGCCTTGAGTCGGCCGTGTCCGCGGTCAACGGCCAGACACGAGGCGCTCAGCGCACGTGAATATAATACCCTCTCAAGCACATCGAAGACCGGTCCACACAAGGCTTGATGTACATATAGGTAAGCATTTGCAGACCGATGCGCGGCGATAAATGCGCTTCGCGGAGCCAGTAGTCCTGAATATAACTTATACGTAAGCGTATATGTGGGTGTACACCCACATCCTGCTTTGGGGCTTAGAACATCGTAAACCCCAAGAGATCGACTCCGGTGAGTCAATGAACACCAGCGGTGTCGAAAACCAAGATCGTGCGTTGTAGGAGCACTGACCCGATCAAGACTTCACGGGTGGTCGAGGAGAGGGGCAGTAAAGCATACATGCATCGACCTGCAAGCAACCCGACCGTCGGGAACTGAGAGACTACGAGTCATCAGCACAGCCGACCGTAACCTGATTCTGACAGGGCGGCGACGTCGCTGTGAAGGAAGATACCAGTGGCTCGTGAGCGATCGTCTATGGCAGGCCCAAGGACAATTTCTGTACACACGGTGGACAGGCAGGTTAGCGTGGCATCCCATCTGTACAGCGGGATGATAATCTACCCTGACTCCTCTCTCGGCACGATCATGCTTGCAGAGCCTCGCAGGCATTCCCGAGCGCGGCACCCTCACACGGAGAACCCACTTGTGGCAGCGAGGAGCAGCGGAACCAACCCCCAAAGAGCAGGCTTATGGGAGGTCAACCGGACGGAAAACCTAGATTTACTGTCTTAGGGTGCAGATTGCACGCCAACATGCATATGTAGCAGTGTTACACGACACTACTATCGCATGCAATCACGCCGCGGACCGAGTAGAACAGCTTGCGCCAGTGATCGTTGCCCGGACAAGGGCCGCCCAGTAGTCGAGAGCTTAATCATGTCCATAAGCAGTCCGAGGTGAGCCGGGCTATGAAGCGTGTGGGCAGTCAAGCCCGAAGCTGGATCTCATATTGGCTGTAGACGTTCTGACTGCAGGAATGGGTGGGGAGCGGGACTTAAACTCGATACAGACCTCGTCACGAATGAAGTCAGCGGTCGCGCAGATGAAATGGTCGAGCACTGGGTGCTAGAGAGCTACGGCTTCCAAAATCACATAAGGATAGGCTTTTGACTTGGTTGTAGTACGACCGGTAGAGATCGAGGTGATGGTGGCTGAAGGGAGGCCGCGTCGGGCCACAAGTCCTTTGTGACGTTGCTCATTTCCTGATTGGGACACCAAGTCGCGTTGACGGCAAAGCGCCGCTCAAGTCGCACAACAGCTTGATTCTGGCCACCACTTTCGACTCGAGGCAATCGTCGCGCAGTAAGTTTCGGTTTGCCATTGGCTGGAACATACTCATCTTGGTATTCAAAGTCTACGTTCTAGTCTCTGAGCATATATTGCGTATTCGTGACAGTCTGCCTTGAGGGCGCTTAAACGCGCGTGTTTGCCTGCTTGTACGCGTTCCGTAACTCGAGGATACCGAACGGGGGCTGATTATCGTAGGAAAATGCACAAGAATCCATTCGGGCCGCAACCGACGTACACGCCGGCGCCTCAGCCGCCGCTACCCCCTGGCCCGCCGCCCCCGCCGAGTTCGCAACAGAGCTACGCGGCGGCCTACTGGGCGAACGCTGCAGCTCAGGGACAGCAGGCAGCACATTATAATGGCCAATGGACCGCTCCGACCACATCACAGGGTGCGCCGACGGCACCGCCAGCGCCAGCAGCACCGGCTCAGGCCCAACCGACTGCCGACCAGGCCGCTCTCTACGCCAACTACGGCTACGGCCAGCAGTGGCACCAGCAGCAGCAACGCGCTGCCCAGGCACAGGTTCATGCTCAGCCGCCGCCTCCGCCGGCCTACGCCCAGCCGCAACCGCCGCCGGCCCCTGCACAGTATAATCCCTATCAACCATATCCTCAACAACCCTATGTGCCGCCGGCTGCTCCTGCTGCCCCGCCGCCGCCTCCGCCGCCTATGCAGCAACAGCCTTTTCCGGCGAGACAACAGTACTACCCCCAACAACCACCCCAACAGCCTCCCCAGCAGCCAAGACATAATGTTCATCACACGCCGCCTCAGCATATGCCACCCGCAAAACGCCAGCGTTTCGACAGCGGCGCACGTCCACCGGGGCCCCCGCCGCCGCCGCCTCAACCTCAGTTTCAGCCGCCTCAGCCGCCGACTGGGCCAATGATGGCCCAAGGAATGAACAGTGGTGGATCATTCGATGCCGGCCGCGGTGGAGCGCCAGGACCCATGGGACGCGGCGGCAGCATGCAGATGCGCGGCGCACCGCGCGGCCGAGGCGGGGGCCCAATGAACAACATGCGCGGAGGCGCTGGGCGTGGTCGCGGCGGCTCATTCTCGCAACGCGGCGGCTCGCAGGGCGGCGGGTTTTCGAAACCGCATGGCGGGCGTGGCAATTTCGGCTCCAAAGACTTTGGGAACCGTCGAGGCGGCGGTTCGTTCAATAACGGCTCGAACTTTAGCGGTCCTCAAGGGTTCCAAGGCGGCCAGCATCACCACCAGAGCGGGCGCGACAACGCGTCGTTCCGCGGTCGTGCAAATTTCCAGAATTCTTCACATCGTGGACGACAGGACGGTGGCTCATTCACACATCGCGAACGCGAGACTACTTCGACCTCGGCAAATTATGTGTCATCCGGTGGCAGCAAGAAGGAGGAGAACCGTCGTACGCTGACCGATTTCAAGATTGTAGGTCTCGAGATTCGCGAACTGGGTTGGACTTGGGGTGATCTGCCCTCCGGCGCTACGTCTTCTGATGAAGTCAAGGCTGAGGAGGGCGCCGACGTCTCGTCTGCTAGCGCACCGGCCACCTCGTCTGCTGAAGACGCGGCTGTGGAGGACCAGCTCGTCGCGAAGACTGATGCGGCGGATTCTGAGGCTGCGCCGTCCGGCGCCGAGACGTCGACGGCAGCACCGTCCGAAGAGACTCATGCGGCGGACAGGTCTTCCATTCTTGCTGGCTTCGCACAGCCGCCGTGCCGTATGCGCCTCTATTTCCATTCGCCAGTGACTCCTGAAGATGCGCGGCCGATTCCGGCTGGCGCGGGCATGGTTTTCGCTTCTGAAGACGGGGGTGCTCGCAAGGGCAAGCGCAAGAAGCTCGAGGATGACGATGGGGATGATGAACGGCGCGCCCCACCCCCGCCGCCTGGTGGCATGCATGATCGCGATCGCAGTGCGGATATGATTGATCGTGGCAGCGTCGCGCCAAGCGTGGCGGAGACGACCAGTGAGGGCGACTGGCTGATGGCTGCGATTGGAGAGGATGCCGATGCCGATGCCGATGCCGATGCCGACGCTGAAGGCGATACGGATACCGAGTTGAATGTTTCCGAGGCATATGAAGGCGCGCATTTCGGGCGCACGGAGAGCGAGTCTCACGAGCGTGCGGACGGCGACCATGGTGCGTCGCTCAGCGCATTGAGTTTCGGTCAAGAGTGGGCGCCGGTACCGCCTGCGCCGCGCTTCGTCGGTGCCCACGCCGCTGACTTGGACTTTGCATTCATAAAGGTGGTTCACAAGGTGGCATGGGTACTCAGGAAGACGCGCAGACTGTTGAAAGTCTTGCCGCTCATGAGCAGGCAGATGCGCATGTCGCCGAAGAGACCGCGCCTCCCGCTGAAATTACTGCTGAACAGCACACAGCCGCCGCCTCTCCCGCCACAGAGCCTCCCCAATCTGTCGTGTCTCCGTCTTCGCCCGTCCGTGCGCAGGCGAGCGCTGCAACGCCATCACATGAGAATGCTGTTTCGGCTTCGGAGGTCGCTCCTGTCGAGGATGCTCAAAGGACTGACCTGTCGCATAGTATAGACAATCCGGGTCCTGCTACGCAAGCTGCGGAGGCTCTTCAAGACGGCGCCTTGGACGCTGCAGGCGACATGTCGATCGCTACAGATGATTCGAATGGCACTCAAGTTGAGACGCAGCCGGACACGACATATGAAGGCAGCACGCTTGCTTCATTCTCTGGTGCACCAAGCGCTACACCTCCTGTGGCGACTTACGGCGAGCTGAACCAGTTGCCACTTCCCTCCAAGGAAGATACTGGCTTGCGCACGCCCTCGGCGAACCGCGTATCAATATCCTACGCCTCCGGCACGAAACGCCTGGTCATCGACGCCGAAGTTGTGACCAAACTCAGGCTTTACCGCGCCGAAGGGCGCATAGAGATAGCCATGAAGCTCGAGCGTCTGGATGCTTTGGAGCTCCGCGGAATCCTTGTAAGTTGCTGATGATCATTCCTCGATCTCTATCTCACTCGATTTGGCTAGGTGGAGACCCTATCTGAGACAACTAAGTTGTTCGCGCCAATCGAAATCCTCACGCCTGCTGCTGAGTCCGATGTTACTGTGCCGCCTTTCTCAAAGGTCGAACTGCCATCCGATATCACGCTGCGTGTTCACCTAGACACGGATCGTCCGCTCTCGGAGCCTCGATGGGCCAGAACGGGCGATATTTACGAGTGGCTCAAAAGCCTTCTCGGTGGGCGATTCTGGGTTGCGGGCGATGCGTCAAGTCGTTGGGAGTCTAAGATCGAGGTCATGGACCCGGACCCAGTATGCACATTCCTTTCAGGTGCAACAGAGTGCGCACAGCTAATTTTGTATCAGGCACCTACTATCTGGACTGTTCTTGACCAATGGGCCGGCATGTCAACGGTCGGCTCACAGACGGAGCGCCAGCGCTTTGTGAAGACCCACCTCAGCGAACCGGAGAACCTGCTGGAGATCCTTTTGCGGCTTGTGCGCGGCGAGCGTGCGACGGCTTTCTCCGCCGCAGCCCCCGCGATCTCGGCGCCCAGTGTGTCCGGACCGCTGCTGACAGCGCTCAATAGCGCATCGGCGCATGGCGCACAGCAGACGCACGTCTCGCTCGCGGTCCTGGCCATGTTCCGCTTAACGATCGAATTCGCAGAGCGTGCGAATGAAACCAAGGGCAAGGCTGAAGCCGAGGAACGCGTCGGGGAGATTCTCCGGTGCCTACCCACGCATCTCTTGTACAAGAGTTTGGAGGGAATCTTCAAAGAGTGGAAGGCGGAGACCAAGCGCAGCGGCCGTTGAGCGCTTGTTTCGCGAATTCAGTGGCTTACGGTCAGGGAGGCGGTCATATCTGTGGCGCAAGATCTTGAACAAGCGCCTTCCATGTCCTCAATTACTTTACTGTAGCATCGTGCCCATCGTGTGCTTGCTTGCCGTTACTCTGTCTTGCGCAGTGTCCGCAAGGTTGCAATACAACGTTTGATTGTTACCCTGCCCTATCACTTGGTAGCCGACCCGGAGGTGAGGCCGGCCGAAGGCGTCCTTGCAAGTCCGCCCCTACCCCTGCCTACCTACGGTACCGTGCCTTTCCGAAGGACGTGTCGTCCCATCTCTCACGGTTCGTAGATACTTACTTTGGATGAACGGCGTGATGGTCTGCATCACTACCACACGCAACGGCGAAAGAACTATGGAACCCAAGGAGGTCACGCCTGAAACCGTGCTAACCTTACGACTTCTTCGGGTTTAGGACGCGATACTTTGTGCTATCTGTTCCGCGCTTACTTCTCGTGCCACAATGAAGTGCGGCGATCCTTACTAGGATAGAGAAAGTCTGCGTACTTCCTCCTCTCAACATGCCGCGTCGCGCGAAGAAGATATGTTCACGCCATCCCGGGACTCCGTAGATGACGATGGACCGCGCCGGCGGGGGCCTAGGGTCTAGCTGAGCTTCGGCCACGCGTTGTTCTTCCGGAGTGTGCGTATCCGCAGGTTTAGGTGCGATGATGATCTCCAAGGTCCAGATGCCACGCGCGGTCTATCTCGCTGAGCGAATGTGAAGACACGCAGCGCAGAGCCCTCCGTATCGAGATTGTATCTATATACAGTGTAAGCTTTCATGCATCACGAGCAAGGAAGCCGATGTACCAAAGGGGATAGTTGGACGGTGAAGATCGCAAGTATGAAAGATTATGAACGGTTGGCGGTGAGCGGGCCTGGTTCCAGCTGTTGCTATCCCCTTCAGCTCGAGAACCCTCGACGACACAGGCTGAGAGGGTCTGGCCCTGCCTGAACTGCGAGTGGCACGGTGTACCTGCCACGAGTTCGCAAACGAGGCGCTTAGGCCGGAAGACTCTGAGCCACAACTGACACGATCACGGTTGACGCGTCGACGTCGGAGTTCACTGCATACATGAGCTGTCGGGTTGCTGATAGTTACCTACCCTGAGAAGGAGAAGCCAAATGGCCAGGGATGGTACCGCATTCGTCGGAGGGTCAAGCGCCTGAGACTCGCTCAAGAAGACTCAGTGTGACCGACGTCTCCTGGGGTCGCAACATGAGATCGCGTTCCCGCTCGTTCGTGGGTACGGACAAAACAGTCGGGTAGGCGCCGTGGGCGTCTTCTGAGGAAATCTTCGATGCAGAGGCTGGCGGACTCTGGGGAAAAGTTGGTACCTTGTATACATCACGATGCTAGGCTAGTACCCTTGGGGCTCACAGGCCCGTGCAATTGAGATGCCAGCCGAGACACTGAGTGAGCACGTAGTCTACCAGATCTCAGTGACGAACACAACTAATTTCGAGAAACGGTGGTTCTGTACAAAACGCAACATCTTGCGATTGCCGGACCAACGCGAGACTCCTGGACCCACGTGCAACTCGCCTCGTGCCACCACTACCACGTCCTTCGAGCGGAGAGATCGAAAGGCATACTCAGGCATGCACAACGTGGAAACGATAGATCAAGCTTAAACGCAACACTCAGTGTGGCCTCATCATAGCGTAAGACTTAAAGCACAGGGGCTCCTGAGTACCCGCTCTAGACGTAGTCGCAGAAGTTTGCCCGCCAACGCGCCGTCGACCCGATCACCCACGCGTGCCGAGCGTTGTCCTCGTTGTGTTGCGCATCGTCGGGAATATAAGTATGGATCTAAAGGACTCTGGTTGACCCAACATTCGCCGTTCACCCCCGCATCGTTTCTCTGTGCTCGTTTCCTTTCTTTGAGCTCACATTTCTATTTTGTCCCTTTCTTCGCCGGTCGCTTTCTTGTCGCTGCGCGCCGTTACTGTCAAGGTTTGCCCTTTGCGATTGTGCCCGCTCTTGCCATTGTACTGACCGACGGCCAGTCGGGAATGTCGCAAATGGATCAGCAGTTTATCAACTTCGACGCTATCCTCTTCCCTGCGGACGGTCGCCCGCCTCAGGTAGTGCAACTGATGACCAGTCCCGCCTCGTACACTGGACAAGAGGGCGCTGCGACAGGTGGTCGGGTCGCTCATCCCGAAGTGCACATGGAGTACATCGCCGAAAACCTCGGTCCTCGTGCCTGGGCGTACCAGGTTGGTTTTGCCTCGTTGCAGATGATCTTCGCAATACTTACCCGACTCGTGCCAAAGCTCATCGAGGCGCTAGACGGCATGAGCAAGAAGTTCGCCCAGCCTTATGCTATCTTCTATCCTGTCGTGTCGCGCGACGGGATGCCATTCCCTGTCAACAAGACTGTGCGCGACATTCAGGGTAGTTCCTTCAGTCACGATCATGCCTGGCAAGGTAGCCTTGTTATTGCGAAGTACAAGGATACGCGTTACTCTCAGATGATGCATGCGTCGATGGCCGATTTCCCGTTGATCAAGAACTGGCTTATGCACCATGGCTCGCCTCTCCCTCCCAGAGTAAGCGTCCCGTCTTCTTCATCTACTAGTGGTTCTACTTCTTCCGTTAGCAACCCGAACACTCAAACATCGTCGTCTAGTTCCGCTACTAGTGTCCCATACCCGTATCTGGAGTTCATCCAAGACCCTGACGCAGGCCCTCGTCGTCGCAAGTAGACGCGTTGCTTATGTTCGGTGACCTCTCTCTACTGCTTTTGTTATGATCCACGCTCTCGCTCTTGTTGAATTGTGCTAGCCATTGTCAACGGATTTTTGTTAGTCTCTCGCATATGCACCTCGTCTGTACCTGTTCCATGTATTCGCACATATGTATAGCAGTAGATTACATCGCCACTGGGCCTAGTTATACACGGACTCTACAATTCCTGATGCTTTCCAGCGTCCTTTGACGCCTTGTCTGAAGCCGCGGAAGAACTGGACGCGCTCTTCGATGGCGGTTTATCCGGTTTCTTTGCCTTCGGAGGCCTACAGGGCTCCGGAACGGGGCTCATAGGGTCAATGGGTTTGTGAATAACACGGCCTACGCGGCTATAGTCCTTGTGATTCGCAAAGAAGTCCTTCCAGTGCTGCACGCTCTGCCCACGGACGTCAGTTAACGAACGCGCCGTGACATCGGTTCATAAGATCTACCTTAAGCTCGCCTTCAGATAACCCTCTGAGATCGTGAGTACGGTGCTGTGCAAAACAGCCGGTCGCAAATGCGCGAGCGGCGTCAACCCCGGCCCTGCGGTAGCCTCGCGTTAGCCCTTATGAAGACCGGGAAGCACGAGAGTACAAACATGTTGTGATATGAACCGCCGGGACCATACACACGGCGATTACTGGACACATCATATACTTCGCCGTCGATCTGATTATGTCGCGTGAGTGGACCGGCAGAGGATAGGTAGGGTGCGACTGCGCACAGCGAGGTAAAGGGGCAGTAGCTCTTGTGATCCGTCAAACCTGGCCAAGAAGCTTTCGGAGAACAGCCTCTCTTGCTCCTGTAGTACGTCTTAGCCGGACTGCAAGAGGGGATTCACACAGGCTACGAACCGGGAAATACGTCTTGACCCGTAACCATTTACTGTCGTAGCCCCACATCCAGTCGCCAGTAACGAATTTACCAGTGCAAATAATGAACAGCAGGACATAGACCAGAAATTTCATCAGACCCAGAACGCCCACTTCGGGCTCGTAGGTCGGATCGGGTTCCTCGGGTCCTACCTCCTCGCCTCGCGCCAACTTCTCCTCGCGCTCTTTCTTGCGCTCGAGCCACTCCTCCCGGAGCTTCGCCTGCCGATCGCGATACTCCTTGTATCTGAGACGCACACGTCAGGAGGATATTAATGGAGCTCCACCGCGAGCCGGCCACGCACACAAGGAACGGCTTGTTTGCTCTCTTCGTGGACACCATGCGGTCCGGAATGCTTGGGTCCGGCACCTTGGGGTTTGGATCGACAAAGGTCGGATCGGGGTCGCCTTCAGGATTGCCTAACCAGGACATGGCGGCAGGTTGAGAGGAGCAAGCGTGGCTTGGAAGCGCACGACGTGGAGGTCGTGGATAAGGCTCTCAGCGCGTTCTGCCGTTCGTGGTCCAGGAACAGAGCTTGGGAGCCACTTCCACGGCGCCCCATTTGGATGCGCAGGATACGCAAAGCAATATATGCCCGCTTCCACCGGGGGGCTCTGGACGGTCCATGCCGCTATTGATTCACGAAGGTTCACTAGCATAATGCGTGCTTCAAGTGTGGGAACGACTCCTGCGAAACTCTGCGAAGGTCGCTGCGCGCTTGAACCAAACCATCGTTACGTTGCGCAGACCCGCGGGCTACGAGTTTCCGGCCTCTTAGCTTCGTCGACCACTCGCTAGTATTCGAGTTACATACTTCAAAATCATCTACGCGTCCCATCGTTGCTCTGAAGCTTACCAATATGCGTGCCTTTGAATTATATATCAGGTTTGTGCGTGTGCGCTAGTCCCTGCAGCCCTCGGAAATCCTAGTCGTGTGGAAGCGCACACCAACGTCGCAAAATGAGGTTTAGAGCATGCTGAGGTGCTCACAGTTTCAACCCAACTCCGATTAGCATACTTCGGCTGCCTTTCGAAAGCGACGGACTGAACGAACGGATATGGCTCTCGATCGACTTGCCTGAGAGGCCTTTACGGTCGGTGGCAGCCTACTATTGAATCGGTGCGAACGCAGCCCCGAAGACGTCCACGAGCATCGCCAGACCTCTCGGCGCTGAGTATCAGAGGCTCGATTGCTGGCGTCTGGCCCTTTGATCTGGAATGTGCTGAGTAACTTGCCCGAGTCGCATATACTTCAGCTTGTCCCCGCTTTCTCAATGCCCAGATCCAGACTCTTTCCAACCGGTGCTGGAACTGGATTGTCTCGTCCATGCCGTGCATACCCTGTAAAGGTTAATTTCTGGGGATATCACCTCTCAAATTTGACATTGGCCCCGTCTAGGGATCGCAATTTTCACCGTCCACAAGCCCGGAGCAGGCCCATGCACAGCTCGTACAGAAATCGTGGCATGCGGTCTATCGCCGCTCAAGCGAGTCCTTCCCAGCTCTACACTGTCACGAAGCCATCTCTTTCGCGGCGGCTTCGAGCACGAACATGTTCAAGAGATATAGATATAAAAATGGTCTATTGAGATTGATGCTTTGTATGTATGATTACTGTAAGTGAGATGCATGATGTATGGGTAGATCTGACGATTGTATTTCGATAGTCCGGATAGTCCGGATTCAAGTTCAAGCAGGCAGCAGTAGATGAGGCGCCACAGGCGATCATCGCACGGTTACAAAACCACAGCAAGCACGTACGCGCAGCCCAGCACGCATACATCGACTACTCGCCTCCACAGACACGTCTATACCACATTCCTAGATCATGACGGTAACGTTAATCCTCCGCATCGCCCGCGCTTAAATCGTTCCGTCGATTCCGCGGATCTTCTTGCTGCTCTTGCGTGCGCGGACGTTCGCAGACTCGTCGCGGGGTGAGAACCCGAGCCAGCTAATCTTCTGTGCAGGGGCCTGCGACGAACTCTTCGGCGCTGTGCTGCCGCGGACCTCCTCGGAGCCCCCCGTAGTAGCTGCGCTGCCGACAGCACCCTCTGTATTACTGGGCGCGGCGTAGCGGTCGCCGCCTCCAGGCTGAGCCTCCATCATGGGGCTACCGGGCATCTCAAGCGAGCCAGGAACGGGACTCTCATCGGCGTACGCAGCATCCCATGAACTCGGATCGCCCTCACGAACCCAGCGCACGGGTTGTACAGTGTTGTATGTCTTGATCCCGAGCTGACGACAGAAGTGCTGAACGGCAGCATAGAAGACAGTCTTGCGCGTCAGACGGAGACCCCAATCCTGCCAATTGCCGTTGTGGGATACGCCGAGGGTGACCTCCAAGTAGCGCTGGTACGAGATGTTCTGGTAGACGATCGACGTCGAAGGCTGGAACCACCGGTTCTCCTCGTGCTGCAGCCAATCATTCATCGCATCCTCAAGCGCCTGCAGTTTTTCGACCGGCGTGCGCCACGCGACCTGCAAAGACACCGTCTCGGCCGTCTTATCACTCCGGCGCCAGTTTGTTATGAACATGTTGAAGAGCTGGCTGTTGAAGTAGTATGTCTCCGTGCCATCGGCGCGCGCGAACACGGTAGCGAACAGGCCCATCTTTTTCACGACGAGGTTCTCGGTGCCAATTGCGCAGCGGTCGCCGGTATCGAAGGGGCTACACGCGAAAGTCAGCACGCACGCTTAGGGAACCAGATGTAAACATTACGCACTGGGTGACGAAAAGGAACATGATTGCGTCGAACATGTTCGCGGCCGAGTTCTTGAAGATGAAACTGGCGGCAATACCGATCGAATAGAAACTAGTGAGCGAGTTGGTGATGTCGACACCGAAGACCGGAAGGGCGATGAAGAACAGGATGATGGCAGCGAAGATGAGCAGAATTCGGTCGAGGGTGTGCAGTGCAGCGCTGACATCGCGGATCGAGCGCGAGAGAAATCGTCGCTCCTTGTACGTCTTGATAAGGGTGCTCTTGATTTCAGGCCGAGAAATATCTCCATTGTTGTCCTTGTCAAAGACGCGGAAGGCCACACGCGCTTGCTCCTCGGTCGCGAATGCAGGTCGGAAGTCCTCCTCAAGGAGGTAATTACGGCGGCCATCCCGGAAAGTTTGGAAGATCACGCGAGCCAGACGCTGACGGCGATGTCAGTATCGTGCCTTTGAAGCATGCAGTGGCACAATACCTTAGCTTCACTCGTCGTCGACACATCCCATGCCATGCCGTTGCCTTCAGTGTGGTCCTTGCCCTGAATGTTGCGAGCATCGTGTAGAACAGCGTTCTTGACCACCTTAGCCGCTTTCGTCGCGATAGCTGCCGCATCGTCGCTACTACTATCCGACTCGTCACCGCCTGCACCGCGCTTGCCATTAGGTGGAAACGTCGCGCTGGGCGGAGGTGGGTAGCGATGCGGGCTAGAACTACCCTCAGACGGTCCCTCCGCGCTACCAGGACTCATCGCGCGAGTAGGTGAATCAGACATGACGCGCGAGGACCGCTTGCCCTTCCCCTTCTTCTTGCCGAAGGAACCCGTAGCACCTTCGGCCTCGGCGTCGCCTTCCCATTCGCTCTCGCTAGCAGTGCCAGCCGGGGAACCCGCGCGCGAGCGATTCCAGTTGAAACCCTTCTCGTGACCGGGGGTAGAGGCACCCGGGGTGAGGAATGCGGCAAGCGGCGTACGAGAAGAGCGCTGCCCGCGGCGGTGTTTCTTAGGCCGATAATCGCGCAAACGCTCGATAGAGCGCAGCGCAGTAGTGAGCTCGTCGATGCGCTCCTTGAAGGCGACGCGGTGGAAGGCAAAGGCGATAGCGTGCGAAGCCATGCGCTGGATGCACCATACAAGCGCAAGGAAGAAGAAAAACTCGACGACTTGACCGACGCGGTCGGTGTATGCGGCGCGGCTCGTCACGTCATCGTCCGTATGCAGGTCGTATATATTTTCGAAGATGATGTTCCATGACACCCAGCCCGAAGCGGCGTAGAAAACGGGTTTAATGTTGCCCTTGACCGAATTGTAGAGCTCGATGCGGGTCTTGACAGTCTCGGAGACATGGCCCCACACGGCAGCGACAGCGAAACGCCCGACGATGGGGACGATATCGACGAATAGGGCAAGCCACCATGAGATCACGACGTTCGCGGCGGCCCAGAAGCACCATGCCTCGACGTTGTCGATGACATAGCGGCGGTGCTCAGTCGGGTTCGGCTTGTACCAGTAAAAGTAGAGGATGAGTGGCGGCGTGACGATGATCCCAGCAAGCAGCACCGAGCCGATGAGTGAGCCGAAGAGTAGAGAGAGCAGCCTGAATAAGTAGGTTGGTTAGCGGCATGTCCATAACGGGCAAGAGGCGCGAGATGACAGGCGCTCCATTGTTCGCCTGACAGGATAGGGGTAAATGCTCACTTTCTGAACCAGCCGCGCGCGCGGGTACGGGTGCCCATCTGCTGTTGGAACTTGGCCTCCTCGTCGGCGAGGTCTTCCTCGGCTGACCAGTCGAACTCGTCGTCGTCGTCCGAGCCGTCGTCGGTGGCGTACGAGCTCTGACGAGAGTGCATAGGACGGAACGGATTTTCTTCTTCTATCGTCGACGAGCCATTGCCAGACAATGTGCGGTATGTCGGCGCCGGCATCTCTGACGGATAATGAACAGAAGGCTTTGGCCGGTGGCCATCGCCGTGCTCGTGCTGCTGCTCATCCGAGCTGCGACGTTTCTCATCGGCGCGAGCGGCAGCCTTCTCGTCGTACTCCGAGTCGCTCATGAGCGGCAGGTTCTGGTTGGAGCGGTATGGCGGCGTCTGCTGATCGGTGTATTCGTGGGCGAGATTGGAAGAGGAAGCGACTTTCTTGTACGGGGGCGAGGGAAGCGCCGGCTGAAGGTCGTCCGTGTCGAAGAGGCGGTCCGAATGAAGGCGAAGATGACCGCCTGGCCTGCGTTCGCGTTCGCCGCTGTCTCGGTTAAGCGGCGTCGGATGGTTGTCCTCGTCAAAGACGCTGAACGTCGGCTGCTCTTCCCGTTGCTGATTATCAGCCATTCTCATGCAACACCCAGCTCGGTAGCGCTTCGGCTAGCTGCAAAGAATGTGGGGCGGCGCAGTGGTCGTGGCACGAGACTAAGGATAGAAGTCCCCCGTCTGCGTAGCTGCTCGCCGTTATTGATTTTTCTAGGCTTTACGGCCAAGACGGCGGTACGCAGCCGCGCGCGCAGGCACCGGAAGTCGAAGGGTCTCATCCCCTTCTCCACCTTGACACGACCCCGCAACGTCCTTTAGCCTCAGACTTCAGCTGCGCTCGCGTTCAGTGCCCTACCCTCGATATACCCGACGTACACTCGAGTCTGTGCAGTCCCTGTAGACTACTGTGCCCTCTGTCCTGCTCTACGTATACTGGCCGTCGCCAAGGTGATGCACATGGTCCGGCATTGTACAGCTCCGTGATCGATTTTTCATTGTGCGAAAAGCCTAAAGATACGTGACGTCACGCGTCAGTACACGTTGTGCCGCCCCGATGCCGAATCGGGCTGGCCCTTTTCATCTTGAAAGCGCGCCCCACAAGGCCCCACACCACTTCTAAGTCGGGAACTATGCGATAACCAAGTGATCCGTATCTGTAAACACGTACAGAAGCTGAGAAGAAATCAATCTGCAGGCTACACTCTCACGGTACTATGGGCGGCTCAATCGGCGTGTTGTCCCGGTCTCTCATCGGCACTGCATCCCTCGGGGCTATTTCCTTTCCCTTTGAAGACGGAAGTATACAGTAGCACTACGTCGCTCTCCAGCTCCTTGCCAATTAGCCTTTCTCCCGTCGACTCCTCCGCAATGACCTCAGTGACCACATATGCGGATGCTCGCCAGCTTATAATGGGCGAGCTCGCATCCATAACTCGACACCAAACTCAACCAACTCGACTCTACTTGTCATCTGTATACCCTCGCCGAATACCCCTACTACCTTATCCACTACTTGAATTAACACAATGGCCGACGCAGAGGCAAAGCACATCGCCCAGGAGATGAAGAAGCTGGAGACGAAGCTGGAGAAGGAGACCAAGGTGGACCAGCAGCGCGTGGCGAAGGCGGAGAAGCATCTCGGGCAGTCGCAGAAGGAGCAGGCCAAAGCAGAGAAGGTACGCTTTCCTCCGGTCCGATTCGTTCGACTCAGTCTGATCGATTATCGAACAGGCCGCTAATAAAGCTGACCACGCCGTCGAGAAGGCGATGAAGTCCGAGCACAAGACGGCGCAGAAGATGAACGCTGCAGCGCATAAGCACGACGTCGCGCTCACGAACCAGCACAAGGCAGAGCATGACCTCGACCTTCGCAAGCGCGGCATCCAGGAGGCCCAGGCGCATGTCCAACAACACGAGAATGCTCTCAACGACGCCAAGACGACGCACGATCAGCGCGAGCAGGCGCGCGCCGCCCGTCTGGCCGATGCCCGCGCCGCCTTCAACCACGGCGACGCACCCCAGGGTCCCGCCGCGGGCATGCGTGCGGGAGGTGCAGCGGGTATGACGGATGGTCACGAGTAGGATGGTTTTCGTGCGCCACCGCCCAAGGGCATGCGACGTAGTCGCGAGGTAGCGCGCACAACTAATGACCTCGACGAATTGCTATACCACCATCCCCATTCCTGATGTATGACTTGACGAATGGACTTGTCCTGTGTCTTGTATTACCCTGTACTCCTAGCATCACGAATGTACGATCCATTGAATGAGAAACACGGGAGACAGAATGATTGATCGTGGGTATCACAACATGGACAGAGGGTAACACTTCTGATAATGAGCTAGAAGTAGTAGCCCTGCGGGCCTAACATCCGGCCCTCTCTTCCTCCCACTTCTGAGACCTCCAATGTTGGGCACGACGGCGCAGAGACCATGATGGTGGGAACGTCATCCGTCACGGCAGTTGTCATTTGAGAATAGACGGATGGACTCTCGAACGACTGGAGCGAGTCCGGCCGTTGGCTAGTAGACTTCGGCGGTGGAGGGCGGGCCAGCGAGATTGCGCCGTGCCGCCTATGTATCACGGGCAGTGCCCTAGCGGGGCGGGGCGGTCCTACATCGTTGGGGAAGGACAGGTGGACAGTCGGGGCAGTTGACGCGGTGGCGCGGCGGGAGCGCAGCGGCACCGGACTGGTGATCAATGCGAGGATATGCCCGGGGACCGCAGCGAGCATGCTGAGCGTCTCAGCCGGCTTGGTATGTGATAATGAGTCGTACGACGCGGAGAGTTCGTGCTTGACTGCAGTCTTCTCGTATGACTCCTCGCTTTCTTCGCTTGAAGCAGAGAAAGTCGAGCGTGTGGGTGAGTTTGGAAGTCGGCGAAGAGTCCCGAAGTGGGCTTGTAGGTTGAGAGTCCGTGGGCGCGGCATGTATAGGCTGATCGAAGGAGTGTTGGCGCGTGCCGAGCGGGACCAAGCGTTCGGTCGGAGGGAGATGACGATGACGAGAGCAAGAACTACCAGGAAGCCTACGGCGAAGCCGAAGGCCAGAGTGCGAGCCATCGAAGTCAAAAGGATACAAAAGAGTAAGGAAGGTCCAAAGCAATGTGACAGAAACAGCCTTGATATACCACTACTCTAGGCTGAGATCGAAATGCACATCCTGGACTGAGAGTCGGCCGAGTAGTGTTATGTGGGCCTGGTTGTGTTTGTGACTGAGTATGATGGGCAAGACATTATCATGGAATAGAGAACACAACCATCCCGCCTTGGCACAGCCAGTGCAAAATCAATGAAACGCGTATTCCATGCGAGTTATGAGCCGAAACTCCCTGAGGGGCGGTCGGGGGAACTGCAGATGTTCATGGTGGTCTGTGGCAAGCCTGGCGTGTGACTCGCCACTCGCGAGACGCGCCTCCAGCCTTTTTTTTTTTTTTTTTT